CTAGGAAAACACTCAGCAGTGTGAAATTTGTGATATAATTTTAAGAGGTGATAACACTTTTTATTCTATAAATAAGCTATATGTCTGTATAAGATCTCAAGTACTTCAATATACAAATAAGGAAAAAAAACCCCACACCTTATAATAACACAGTATTTTACTAGAGCCCATATTTTAAAAGTCCTGGTTTGGCGACTTTATTTATTTATTTATTTTCTAATGGCATACTGAAACATTAAAGAAAAACTGGATATCAATGGTTTCCCAGGAGTGAGGAAGCCTGGGACAGGCCAAAGAGCAGACTTGCATTCTCTATGTGTGCTGCTATTTTCTTGTGCTTATAAAGCCTTATCATGTTCAAAGCTCAAAACTACCAATGTAAATTTCCTAAATGCCTTTAGAAAACCAAGAGCTCAAGTACTGCCAAAAGAAACACGAGTTCCTGAAGCTGGTCAGCATTGCTTGGGTTTGCTTTAAAAAAAAAAAAGAGGAGAAAAATAAAAGAGAGAGAAAAAAAAAAGTCAAATGCCTGCTGCAATATGTAAGAAAAAGCTATACAGGAGTTGAAGGGAAGCTGCATAGGAAGCAAAGCAAAGCCCAAAATAAAAAGCAGGAACAGAAAACTAAAAATAACAAACAGGAAAGGGTGAGACAGCTGCAAGGGCTCTCATGCATTCTCCCTCAGCATTGTACCCATTTTTTTCAGGAACATACTAATATTGTGTTTGGATTTCAATGGCATTCCAATCCATTATTTGTTCTTCAAAAATAGATGCTTCTCCTGTGAGGAAGAAAGACATTTTCAAGTAATGTTCATATGACTCTCGTCCTAGTTTATCAAAAAACACTCTTGTAGCTTTGGTGTTTGCAGGCAGCAGAAGGACTTCATGATGTAAATTGTTTCAAGAAAAAATAAACTAAGTTTCGCTTGTATGGTGAAGATCTGCTCTGGATCATTGACTGTTGCACTTAATTTTGGTCTAATATTTACGTTAAAGCTTTTATAAGTAATAGGGGAGCCAGCACATAAGTTGGAGTTGCAGCTACTTTGGAAGCACAGTGGTTGGGAAGGGAACAGGGAGGAGCACAGTGGAACTGATAAATTTAAAGGAAATCTCTGTCTTTTTCTCCATCCAGCCTGGCGCTTACAGGGAGGCAGCAGGGAATGCTTCAGCACGCAGAGACCAGGTCCTGCTTTACATTTGCTATATTCCCCTATGTGTGCTATCCCTATGTACTCGCTATACACACCCGTTGTGCAAGCGTTTAGCCAGGCGGGCAGGTTGTGCGTGGTCTGTGGCCACCCAGGACACAGCTACACACTGGGCTGGTGCCTGTGTGGGGAGAGCAAGAAAGGCAGAAGGTGCCTCTGGGCAGCCCTGGTTCCTGTGGATGGTCACAGGAGCCGGTGGAAACCGCACAAAGACCTGCCAAGCAGGAGAGCATCACGGTGCCTGTCAAACTGTCAGCTCCCACTTGTAAAATCCCTATTTTCAGCAGACACAGCAAAAAACAGGAAATATTTAACAACTTTGCAGGTGTCAGGAAGTACTTTCAAAGCACTGCTGTGACCTCACAGTCCATTTAAATAGATATCAAGCATGCACAGAGGTAATAATAAAAATATTTTCATTTAAAGTGTAGTTTGGTGTGTTTGCACTAATATGTAAGTCTCAGCAGATCATGGAGACAAATTTATGCTGTTAATCATATTAGGCTGGTTATGCTGTGGTATGTCTCAAAATACTTGTGTGAATGAATGTTAAGAAGAGCATCTCCAGCAGGTTGAGGGAGGTGATCCTGCCCTTCTACTCAGCCCTGGTGAGGCCCCATCTGGAGTGTTGTGTCCAGTTCTGGGCTCCACAGTACAAGAGGGATGTGGAGCTGCTGGAGAGAGTCCAGCGCAGGGCCACAAGGATGATCAGGGGCCTGGAACATCTGCCCTACGAGGAGAGGCTGAGGGAGCTGGGCCTGTTCAGACTAGAGGAAACGGCCACAAACTGAAGCATCAAAAGTTCCACAGGAACTCGAGGAAAAACTTCTTAATAGTGAGGGTGACAGAGCACTGGAACAGGCTGCCCAGAGAGGTTGTGGAGTCTCCTTCTCTGGAGATCTTTAAAACCTGCTTGGATGCAGTCCTGTGCCACATGCTCTAGGTGACCCTGCGTGTGCAAGGGGGTTGGACTAGATGACCTCTAGAGGTCCCTGCCAACCTTAAGCATTCTATGATTCTATGAATGTGTTAATGCAAGGAACTTGCACCTTAAAGTACATTAAAGCTGTTTTGCACTGTTGAAGCTGATAAAGCTGTTTGTCATTCAATGCTTGCCTATACTATATCTGTTGTATAACATTTGAATCATGGATGGAATATATTTAAATGTATTTTAGGCTTTTCTATTCCTCTGTGTATTTCAGATATAGGACAATATGTTGCTTGTACTGTAAGGGCACCTGCAACATCCTATAACACAGGGTATAACAGAAACAATTATATTGATTTACAATATGCTTGCCAGTATATTAACATATTAAGTGTATAATAGGAGTGTATATAACCTGAAATATAATCAACCTACTATTTTGCTCTGTACTAATTGAGAAAATCAGGACTACTAGAAATGAGGCCTATTTGCCACTTACAAACACAGTCTCATTGGAATTTATGTATTAAAAAAAAAATCTCTAATTAAAGCGGCAGGAGCACTCAGGACTTTTCTTCTAGGAGAAGGGAATCATCTGTGGCTGATTTCTGGCTTACCAGGATAAGGAAGTAACACCTGAAACACACAATTAAGCATAGAAATGAAAAAAAGTATAAAAGTCTGCATGCACAAAACAAGGGAAATGAGTTGGAGAGTGCAGGGGAACTGAGAACAGATGTGAAGGGGGAGGTAGAAAGAAGGAAGGACCGACCATAGAGAAGGCAGATTAGCAGCCCTTGGTTCCATGCACATCATTTCATGCAATTTGCTTCCACTCCAATCTACTGTCAAAACCTATTTTGTGTGTTGCAATCTGTCGCTGGGGCAGCTAAAGAAAAGCAAAGGTTTGATGGAAAATAGAAGAATTTGTTCCCAAATTGTTTGCCCCAATATGGTTTCTTCCACTCTGAATTCTGGGCCATTCTGAATGTGTCCATTTTCTGTAGTGACAAGGAGCAGTCCCCAGCAAATTTACTTACTCAAACAGCTGTAGCCATTTTGCAGCCCCCCCTCTATAGAACTGGGAGTAAAATTTTGCCTAGTCTGCATGCACAGTGGCTGTGCCATGATCTGGCATCTTATTCTGTTTATAATCAATACACGCAATAGACAGTGATGCTTTCAGGTTTTTTTTTTTATTGAACAATAACCATATACTTTTTGAAAACCAGCCAGCTTATTAGATTTACCTTCAAAAACCCATAATGTCATTTATGACACTATTGCAAGATAACAATAAAGTATGCAAATATTTATTACAATCTTTAAATAATTCTCTTCAGTCTGCTGTAGGGACATGGGTTTAATCCTGCTCTCACTAAAAATCAATAAAGAAGTTACTTTTGATATCAGTAGTTGAGAATCAATATCCCTTTCCTTCAGACCTAAACATCAATACAGGTTAAAATATGGTACATGCTAGCTTGGGATTTCTGTTCATTTTTCTCTGATAATTGTAGCCAGAAAACCCACAGTGCCAGACTTAAGTGACTACAGTCATTTTCTCTTTATTCTAATACAGTATGATCCGATACTTCCTCCATAGGTGAAAACAATCTACGTTCACTGAAAGTGGCTTTGGACTCTTGAAAGGCTTTGGAGTTTATGTTCACTGCATCGCTATCAACATTCAAACTGATTTCAGAGGAAATAGGGCTGCATGCCCAATGAGGCTGCTCTACACCATGAGGAGGTTCCTAGTCGTGTGCAGTCCAGGCTTACTCCAATGCCACTACATTAATTTCCAGTACCTGAGGATCTGATTGTTTCCAAACATATTAGTAAACCCAAGTGCAGATTTTTGTTTCAAATAAACTGAATGAGGGACTGCCGATTCCTGACTCCCTAGCGCAGGCAGGTTATGTTGGTGGCTGGAACAGGACTGCTTGTTCCTGCTACTAAGAAATGAAGGAAAGGGCACCTGGGACCTATTGGCTCTGGCTGCTCTATCTGCTATCTAACTGTGAGTTCGTGTCTCGTCTATATGTGGTCAGATAAACTCCATCCTTGGAGCCAGAAAGGGTCTGCAGCCAGCAGGGAAGGAGGAAGGTCCATTTGCTGCCCTATGGCCTTGGACCCACTTTTCCCCATGAAATGCAGATATCACCATAAGGGCATTAATACATCTATTTTATAGAGACACATACATTTAAATAATACCAAGCAACTTCTGTTGTTTCAGGCGCTCCTCTACAAATCTGCATAATTTACCAAAGATCTGTTTCTCTATACAGAATTTAACATTAGATATCTACCTAATACAATATATTGTTACAGTGAGTTATTCACAACATATAAACTTAAATGATAGGTGTTTTCTCCCTGAAAAAGGCATATTTTCCTCCTATGAACTGTAACCAAACTTTCACAACCCAGAAAATTACTAATGGCTAATGCTAGTTTGTTTAATTCACACCACCATGCTCCCACAATATTATTATTGTGGTCAGTGTGACTCAGGGGCATTGCTTTCTATCCTGGGGCTTGTCAACATGTGTTTCTTTCACTTTGGCTCCATATCAATAGTTTTGGACTCACCCAAAGTGTCCACTGAATTCACTGAGAGCTTTCCTGGCCTGAGGCTGCAAGAGTTGGTCTTCAACTTTATTTGAACAAGGAGGGTTGAATTGTGGTGTTGTTTTCTTCTTTTTAATATTACTGTACATTCAGCAATCCACAATACATTTCTGTGTTCAAATACTTATTGAAACAAATATCAAAAATCATATACACTGTACAGTCTATTTTTAAGTAAACATTTTTCTCATGAAAAACAATCACAATTGGCCTTCAGAAGTTACATTTTCATATGCTATAGATCTACTTAGTTCTTAAATTATGCTGTTGCATATTCAATAATCTATGAGAAAGGCATTCACTTGAAAGTCTTATGAGTGTGAGTAAATATCAGCGAGGATTTAGCCATTTCATTACCAGAGAATGAATTGCTTTCTCCTTGACAAATTCCTCTCTTACTGAATTGTCATCCCCTGATGCCATGTCATTCTCTGAAAATTTAAAAGAGAAGGTAGATTTTGCAAAAAATTAGAGAACTAAAATGTGTTCCCACATCTACTTCCCACAGTTTGGGAACATTTCAGTAAATTATTAATAATCAATTTTACATGAATCTACCTGAATATCTGTGGTTAACTAGTTGCAAAATATCGGCCAAATTATGGCATAGAACAGATGGGTTTTCTAATAGTTTAAGCATAAGGCAGGTGACCTGAATTCAGCTTCCAGCTCTCAGACTCCCAGAGTGACATGGGACCAGAGAGCACATCCTCACCAGGACCTCTACAGTAGCGGATCCTACAGCAGTAAATTAAACAGCCTGGAGGCTTGGATGGAATAACCTGATGCATGCCCTTAAGCTCCATTACCCTCCAGAAGAAGGTAAGAGATATGCCGTTTGTCTGCTGGAAATGGTCCCTGGCTTGTGTCAATTCCTGAACTCTGGCTGCAGTTGCTGGGAAGAAAGTCCAGCTGGCCTGGGACCATCCGTGCCAACATGCCAGGCACTATCCAGCAGACAGTGAAAGGCAATACACAGGAACACTCTCTGGCACTGCTTAATTTATTAGGATACACATAGCCATAGTGTCTTTCTAAAACATATGGGCCACAAACTGACCTGATTAAAATATTCACAGTTATTATACACAGTTAGCCAAGACTATCCCAGATTGCACTGAAGACCACTATTAAAAGCCATTATTTGTGACCATCCCATGACATACTATACAAAATATTCCTGGTCTACTATCAGCAATGACCTCTGAGGGATAGAAATCTGTGTGTAATCTTTGCACTGACAATAGCAAAAGTTCCACTTGCTTCTCCGGGGCAAAGAGTTCCCCCAGTTGGGTTCACACAATTTGAGTGTGCTAAATATCAAGTCTGCACAAGCTTTGATTCAAAAGTGAGGGAGTGGGGGAGAAAGTGGAAGAACTAATGAACAGGCTACCTGGCAACCTCTGGGTATATAGTAGAAGCAGGGAAAAAAAAATGAAGACAATATTTTTCAAGTTATTTCAGCACCCTTGGTACTACACAAAGGTAGAAAGACAAAAGAACATAAGCATAAAGATCAGAAATGAACAAGACTTTTTTTCTCTTCAATGTGATTTTTAATGTGATATGAACAGCTTGCTTCTTTCTATTCTTCTCTATAGAGAGAATGGGAGCAAGATAGCCCCTATATATTAAGGCAACAAGTACAAGAGACCTTAATATAATAGGAAACAATCAGAATAAGGCAAACAAACCGCAGCTGGAGGAGAAAAAATTCTAGGATTTGAGTTAAATTCTAGAAAAGTCCCCAGTATACTAGGATTAAATCACTGGTATTTAAAATGTTTAAAATTCCTTTAAATTGGTGTTTAAGTTCAGAGTCAGCATTACTCAGTTAAATGTACTTCAGTATTACCAGGCAGATAATTAAACAGGAAAATCTTTCAACCTCAGCATTAAATAAAATCTGTAATCTCTTCCTTCTGCCTCCAAATACTCAATTGTTTTCACATACTTTCATGTTTTTAGAAAATGTGAAGAATCTTTTGCAAGCTTAAGACAATCTTAAACATAAGTACATATCCCAAGACACATACTGTGGTAAATAACCAAACAAAATCATTTTATAAAACAGCTCACTGACATCTGAAAAATGTATTAGCACTGACTTCAAAGTAAAAAGAGGTAATTTTTATCACTAGTAACACTGGTAAGTGTCATGAGGTGAAATCCTATTCTAGATAAAGTAGCTCCATGCATCTAAACAGGCTGATACAAGTCTCAGCATATCCTCACGTTGCACAACCGACCTCATATCACTAGTGCATGCAACAGCTCCAAACTGTTTTGCCTTGTTAGGTTTTCCACGTGGGTTGTAGCTCACCTAATTCCCTGCCATAAGTTAAGGGAGTTGCCAATGAGAAAAATAAATGTGTCTTGTGCTGTTAGCTATTTGCACAGCTCCACCAAAGTACACAGCACTCGTGCACAGTACACATGCTCATAGCTCACGTACAAGGTGGTTTCTGCTAAAAGCAGCTTGCCCCACAAAGAAGTCTTACCTGGGTGTGAAACGGCTTTTTGTCGATTTGGAGCAGAGAGTTGAAAAAATGGAAACTTCAAACACTTCCCAGTGACTCTGTCACAGATGCCAGATGGACAATTGCAAGTTTTCCTGCACTCCATTCCATAGGTGCCATAGGGACAATCTGAAAGACAACACATGGGGAGGCAATATAGCAGAGCAGTCCTCAGTAATCCAGGTCACCTACCCGCTCCTTCAATAGCTGCTCTGCATACATCCTTAAAAGTAGAAAACCTCTGAGTGAAATGAAAAGATTTTGGGATGCCAACTTCTTACAAGCATTTTCCAGTTTTAACAAGCCTAAATTTTCTTTACCCCAAACTTTATACATTTTTCTATTCCTACAGTATAGGTTGCACATTATGTTATTTACCATGTGCTATCAATAATCTTTCTCTGTAACACTTGTGGTGTTAAAAGGTAAATTAAAGGCAATATGAATGTCTAATCACAGAGCAGGTGGTTAAAACTACAGATTGTGTCTGGTGAAGTCTTGGTTTTTAGTTTAAGCAGATCATCATTGGGTTTAGAAGAAGGGACAACATTTCTGAACTCACTCCTCAGGCATGCCCATATGCAACTCACACAGCACCAGTGATTCAGATGCCATCAGGGCTGCTTTATAGGAATGGACACTTCCTATAGGCTCCCCTGTGGCTGCCGACTCCTGCCCCAAGGAGCTATCCAGGGTGGCAAACTGCCTCCTCAGCCTCGGAAAGCCAGGGCCGAGCAAGGCAGAAAACCGCTGCCAGTTCTCAGGGAATGTGACATGCTTCTCCTACAGCAAAATGTCACCTTCCCATGGCAGACAGCAAAGGTCTCACCTACAGCTGCTGCCAAAGCAGCAAATTTGCTCTAAAGAGGTCACAAAAAGCTCTGAAAAATCCTCCTGGCCTTTCCTAGGGATACCTCCTCCAGCCTGGAGGACCTCATTGAGCTTCACTGCACTCCCCATCTCAAACAAGGGCACTCTTTGACCTGCTGCTCACCCAGGTAAAACAGACACAAAATCCTGCCAAAACAGAGTGGTTTGTGGCACACCATCCTCCCATCAAGCATGTGGGACTGGCACTCATAGCACATGGGGCCACAGCACCTCAGCAGGCACCCGTGGGGCTCAGTGAGGTGCCCTGAAGAGCCTGGGGCAAAACAAGCCGAAGTCCAGCAGCACTTGATTCCCCATTGAATCATCCAGGACTCGACAGGGCTCTGCAGACCTGATAAAACTGAGTGATGCGAGTCAGTTTTGCTGCTAGCAGGAGATGCGCAGCAGGAAACTGATCTTACGTAAATCAACCAATAACTCCCTGTGATTTAAGGGAGTCAAGAGCAGGTTCTCACTGTGGCAGAAATACCTGAAGAGGGAATTTCTCAATAAAAGTGCAGAGCATCAGTCTTCCCAATTTTTTTTTTTTAAGGGGGTCAATAACATTGCTACTGATTATAACTACAATATAATAATCTGATCCACTCTCTTAAAATTGTTGAGATAAAACTATCAAGAACATGAAGTAATGCTCAAAGTGCTCTGAAATACATACTGTGCATATTTTGCCCATTTCACTATTAAGAAATCAAATAACAGGAGTTCAAATCATTTGTTTGCAACTTCAAAGCAAGTTAGTCATACAGAGTTGAAGACAGTCTAGCCATCCCTGCTCCATGATTTAATATAAATTTGGAAGTTATTAAAACAAATGAGTGACCTAGCATCATATTTATATATGGCTAGAAAAAATAACTATATTGGCTCTAAACTTTGCCTGAAAAAAATTCAAATATGTACATAAGAAATTATACTATCTCAGAGCTGAGATAGAAAAGTGCTCTGTAAGATTAGTTCAAATAAATCTGTGTGAAATAGAAGCCCTGGATATCAAAGTCAAAATATGGCATTACTGAAGGAGCTTGTCCATTGACTCACTGGGAAAAATATTTTACTTTATATTTCCTTAGTATTTTCTGCAGAGCTTCTAGGATTCTACTACAGAGATTGAGATCTCATGTCCATCCCCCACTGTTTCTGTCTTCCCATTTTAAGCTTGCTGTTGCAAAGAAATTCCTATGAGAACAGTGAAAAGCATATACTTGTCTAAGGAAATAATCAAGGAATTATAACTGATACCCCACACTGCAATACTTTTAATAAATTGATTGTCACTCAGTAACAGACTTTTTACTGATAGCATGAATTTTAAAGGTATGAATTTGAGACATAAATTCTAGATTTTAGAAAAAAAAAAAAAAGGATATTTTGTATTTCACCCTCAAATATGCACATGAATTTGTGTAATTTATATTGCAATGTAACTAAATTTGTCTTCTGTGTGAGTCAACCTGAATGCTTTCTGCAGCATCTCTCTCTAAGCCATTCCCTTAACAAAAGTTATTAATACTTCTAATATTTAAATGTCAAAATTTCTGCATTTCTAAGGAAGTTATTCAGAGGCAGAAGTACCTACTTACCAAAGCAGCACAGAGGAAAACACTGCAATCATAAATTTTGAAAACTTTCCTCCTACTGCTGTGTATTTTAATACCTTCTCTCCTCTAAAAGAATTGCCTTCCTAATGAGGTGAGAACAGCTCTCACCTGAAACATGCCATTATGGACTATGAGTAAAGGAAGAGCCACGCAGCAAACCTGGTGTGATGTGAAAGCAGGGGTTCCCCACTCCTCTCCTAGTCAGCTCTGGGACTTTTACTGCTGTTTTGCACACAGGAGAGCCCTGGCTTGCCTGCCCTGACCACATGCTGACCGTAGCTGAGCATCTCAAGGTCAGGAATGAACTAAATAGGACCATGGCACTAGGAGATCAGGCAGCTCTCTTATCTTGCCCACCAAATCAGTGGAAGGATCAACACTAGTGCCTGGGTCTCCAAAGTCTCAGTCAAAAATCTTAGCTCCTATTCATATTTCTTTAAAGCTGTCCCCAAGGCTAAACAATATTATCACATTAATTACCCTGGTCCCATCTACATGGAACATCTTTTAACACCAGCAGGTATTTTTCGCTTTCTCCTAGGCTAAGGGCTGAGCTAGAAAAATCCCCTTTCAGCCCCTTCAAGCAGGAGGTAAGATCTTTATGCAGGCTGCTGTCAAACTGCCACAGTGGGTGCATGCAAAGTGAATATTGTTACCTTTGCAGATACCAAATTCATCACCAAAGTCATCCTCCTCAGTGTAAAACTGGCACTTCAGCCCAGGACCACACTTGACACCATCCATACCCGAGACCGTACGATAGCAAGTCTCCCCCAGAGCAGCCGCACACACCCTGCAGCAGCCACAGTCATCCAGCACCGTTCGCTTACAGCGCAAGGTACTTTTGCACGCATTACTGTCACAGGGCTCAGGACAATCTACCGCGTATTTGGCACTCCAAGCAGTTCCAGCGTGCACGGGCAGCAGGAGGAGGGTGAACATCAGGAAGCCCTTCATGTCTTGCGGGGATAAACGCGCCGTCCCCACGAGCGGGTTTCGGTGCTCGGCGCAGCACCTGCGGCTGCAGGAGGCAGTGGTACAGAATCCAAGGTGGGAGCTGCGTACATCAGCCTACAAGTTTATGAGCTTTATACGATGTGTTGCCCACATGCTGCACTGTCGTCAGCTTCCTCAATCCAGCAGCGCGGCTCCTGCCAGCCTCCCTTGTTTCAGTTCATGAAATCCAGGATGAAGGTTGGATTAGCACTCTGCTGCCATCCAGGAATTGAAAAGCCCAAGCTGATGTAATCTGTTATGTTTAGTTGGTTGTTTTGCATGAGGACTTAAAACTCTCTCATATCCGTCTCAAATGCTCAAGGACATCTGCCAAAAGAAAAAAGAAAAAAAAAAAGGAAAAAAAAACCCCACACAACCAAAAAAAAACCCAGTAGGTTACATACCTTCTGTCAGGACAGGGCTTGCTCTGACACTAGGCACCACTGCTTACGAACAGCTCTGCTTGTAAAACACAGCTCCTGTGGCCGGGAAGAAAATCACATTGAATTATATAATTGCTAAAATATTTCTATTTTTTAGGAAATCTTTGCATAGCCCTCTGAGGGGAAGCAGACAGTCATGCTGAAGAACAAAGATCGTGCCATTTAACAAGCATGTGAGCTCAGATATTTTAGCAGTCTTCTCTTGCATGCATTTAAAGGGTACTTTTAAATCAGTATTTAGGTGGAAGTGAGTTAAACATTTCACTCAAAGATTATTGCTAGGACTAGAAGCAGGTCAGACAGAAAACAGCATCTTCCGCAGGAAGTTGAGGAAAATGATCCATGAGATACCCCTGACCTCACAACCAAAGGGGGAAACCCCATCCATCACCGGCACTCTTAGCACAGGCCAAACAGGCATCTAGAGGAACTAATTCTCCTCCTGTTTACACCACTTCTTTACTCATCAAAGCCTGTGGGCTGCACTTATGCTACTCTTGAATGAAACCAGAGTAAATAAAAAAAAATAAGACTCAGTTTTCCTTTCTGTCCAATTCAGGCTTTATTCGCCCTGACAGAGCCTTGACAAGAAACACCAAGCAACCTAAGAGTTCAGCAAAACAGATGAGCCACCAGAGCAATGGAAATTTCTGCTCTGAAGAAAAATATCCAAGAAAGGGAAAAAAGAATAAAGATAACATGAATATGTCTCTGAACACCAAAAGTTTCTGCCACCAAAGTTAGTGGGAACAGAATCAAGATCTAAACCCGTGGCCGCCTTGCCATTTGGGAAGCCTATGTCCCCAGCAGGCTGAGGAAACTGCCAGGAGGCTGACAAATAAAATGAAAGGCTGTGCTGCTGATGCAAGAGACCAGGAAAGCCTTTTCTTCATGAGCCTAAATGTGAGAATAGACAGATCCCATACAATGTACTTAAGCTCATCTCTTTTGTGAAGAGCATAAGAAAACCAATACATTGCATGTTGCATTTCAAGATGTTCATTTACTTCTAGAAATGCGAATATGAGAACCTGTGCAGGACAGGACAGGACAGGATAGGAACCCTTTTTAACATATGCCAAAGGGAGACCCACACTCAGGCAAGTATTTGCAGGTAATGCGTCCATTTTAAATAGTACATAGTTACACCAAATACACTTCTTTTAATCATAGCTGGCAGCTGGCAGTTGCTTAACCATACTAGCTCACACCTGGGTGTACGTGTAACCCCAAACTGCAGTCAGGGAATTTAAAGGGTAAAAATTATAGCACTAGAGTTGAAATCTCTACTGGTATAAATTGACATGGCTCTACTGATAGGCATGAAATGACAGCAACTAACAGCCATAGACAACCTCATCTCCAGCAGCAGCACAACTATCCTCTGGGACAGAAAAGGAGTAGGTCAAGTGTGGAATTGAAGATCTCAACTGAAAAACAAAGAAGAACAAAAGTGCAAGGTTCTACTGAACAGATAAATTGGAAATGGATATTCTGTCCCTGACCCCATCACAGTCACAACGTGGCAAAGGCTTGTTTTCCAAAAAATCCAACCCAATGTCTGCAAGAACGGCCCCAGAGTTCATGGCTCAGCAGACTAATATAAACCACTGTCCATTTCATTTGGCATTTACACGATCTAAAATTGCCATTGGTTTATACTAAGAGGTCAGACTGCAACTTGCACTGGCTGAGGAGCCTCTGCAATGTCCATGGTGCAGTCCCTCCATAGGGGAGAGATGCTAAATGCACAGGAGCACAGCTAAGGGCAGGAACCATTTCATTCCCCCAGGCTAAATCTGCTTCCAAGGGTGAAATAGCCCAAAGAAGCAGGTTACTTAGTGCAGCAGGTTGGTCCGGAGTAATGAGGAGTGAGAAGATTCCACTTTACTCACCCAGTTCATTCATACCTGCCTTTAAATTCACACCTGCTTACTTGGGCAGAGGAGATGAGATAAAATGGTGCAGATATATCCAAACATGCTCATGGACATTTACACCTGGTAGTAAAACCACACTGTTAAAGTCCTTTTGTATAAATATAATTAGGAAATGCTTCTTGTTTAAAACACCAAGCAAGATTTGAAAGGACTGCGTTTCACATTTCAGCTTCTCACAGGGAAAATGTGCTAGGGAGATGATAAATAAAACATGCAGATGTGGTGAGGAAAAGAAATCGTAAAAGAAATCAGCACACTCCCCTAGCAACAAGCCAATATTATTTGGAATAAAATAGAAACTGCATTCTGTGCTTGGAGCTAGAAGCCAAAGTAAATTATTACAATGGATCAAGAAATACATGGAATGGAAGAAAACATTATGAGCAGATAGATGTCTGGCTTATCCATGAGTATCACTGGAGGAAATTATGAAAATATGGCCTTCCACACTGTCCACTGATTGAGTAATGAAATAAATCCAGTGTTCATTCCCTCTGGTTTTAATATTTCTTTGTTGTTTTACCTGTTGAATCCATTAGGTTTTCCTTTCTAATGAACAGCTTGGTCCTGTAAAGCCATGAACTGAACTGTCCCTTGAAAATTCGTGCAACGGGAGTTAATGAAGCTTCTCCAGCTATCAACAGCAGAAAACCTGGCACCATTATTTAGCTTGCAGTAAATACACTTTAAATGTGGAAGATTTTCTGGAGCAGATCAGATCAGTGGTACAATAACTTTTTTTTCTTTTCAATTTACAGTATAAATTGCCTTGGTGCTAGTTTACCTCATAATTACATCACCATATATAATCTCTGGTATTCTTTCTGGAAGCAGAAAAGGTTTCAACCCTTAGGTTCAGCGCTTCACGGGGAATTGAGCAATCACTGCTTTGGAATTGATCAACTGTGCATCCATCTGGATACTCTGGAGCACAATTTTCCTAATTTCTTCTGCAAATAACCCTCTTCTCAAGCAGAAAGCAGTTTGCGTGGGGTCTCCAACTTGTATATAACTCCTCTGAAAAGTTTGCCCCATCTTTTAAAGATCACCATGAAATGAGGTACCTCATGATACATAATTAATCTGTGGCTGATACATTGGAGTAGGCTATTCATTAGGCATATATTCCCAGCCTTGCTTATTTTATTCTTTAGATGGACAGAATATCACTCAGTTTGATTTTTCTGGACTAAACATTTTAACCACTGTAGTTTTCCAGTCTTTTGAACATTTAAAGTCAGTATAAGCAGAAAAAAATATCTCTTTAAGCATAGGAAAAGGTTTAATTCATGACCCTTGCTACTAATTTCCAAAAGGCAGTCCCTAAACTAAAAATACGTTGCCATACATTCCTGAACCATCCAACCTTTCCACAGGCTTCCTCTACAAAAATCTGCAGGCACAATGCTGTATGAGAAGCAAGGATTCAAAGGGAAACACCAAAAGGAAGCTGAGCTGCAAAGTCCAAAATGAAAAGCCAGAAATAGGAAGTAAAAGAATCAGGAAAGCAAGATAGCAGCAAGGACTCCCCTTTGTATGATTTCTTTTCTTGTATCTTTTCAATGAATTGCTTATTACTCTTTGTTTCGACTGTACCGCGACAAGTCAATATTTTCTTGGTAAAAATAGATGCTTTGGGGCATTTCCTACTGCTGAAGGTCAGACGTATTTACATCCTTTCTGCAGGCAGACAAGGTGGCCTGCACAGAATAGGGTAGATCTGTACCTACCCACACACCTTTGTAGCTGCCATAGAAATGATTGGATATTATGGGGTTATCTGCAGCAAGTCTCAGTACTTTGTTTGAAGTATGTAAAAAAAAAGTTTCTTAAAAGTATGAGAAATTCACATACATTCTCCCTTCTTCGGAAAGCTTACTTCTCTAAGCTCAGAAAACTTACCTTCTAAAGCTCAATTTGACCAAAAACTCAAAGACTTTTGAGACTCAAAGACAAAGATCAAAAACTTGGACTAGATGATCTCTAGAGGTCCCTTCCAACCTCAATCATTCTGTGATTCTGTGACTCACAACCCAAACCAACACTTCTCCGTCACTTCCCACCACCTCATCAATAGCTCTGTCAGTAGCTGTTCCTTTGGTGAGACCTCTTGATCCCAGTAATCTAAAACAACCTAGTCAAGATAGACACTTCATGTTCACCTAGAAAAAAGCCTTTCTCATACAGAAAAAAATCTACACTACTTTACACAGGCAATGATTTTCAGGCACCTGCTAAAAATGTCTTTCTGCTATGATTGTCTAACATTCAATTTCTTCATCAATAAAGGCAAATGATATGGGAATGATGGTTCTTTGCATGCTCTTCTTAGATGCTCTGGTGCAAATATTGTGACCAAAGGGTATTCAGTGTTAATGATGACATAATCTGAAAGATATTTTACATCTCTCTATTTCATACAATGAATTGATGTAGGAATACACCTTAATTTCTTTATTTTATGCAGCCTATGCTGTCAATTGGAATAATTTTTAAAAAGGAATGAAATATTCCAGACTGGAACAAGCATTGCCATTAGTTTGGTCATGATATAAATGATAACACAACTTTCAATAAGACAACAAATATTGGGAATTTTATCCTTTGACCAC